CTCTACAGTTCGAGTTGAGTTTAGCATAAAACCATTAAAGAATAAATCATATCATATGGTTAAAAGTTTTGCCGAAGAGGCCCTATTATTATTTGAGTAATCTAAAATTACTCAATCAAACAAGTATGGTACAAAATATTTATTCAACATGATTATAAAACAAACCATCCGCACAAAAATCTAGCTATATATTTATACTTTTTATTTTTTTGTTTTTGATTAAATTGTTTAAATATTTTTTGCTTTTCCTGCTTATCAAGAGAATGATAATTGTTTTGCTTTTATTTTTTGTGACATGTCACTGCTAAAAAACGAGGCATCCTAGACGGAAAATTCCGTCTAGGATACTCAGAATTCCGTCTAGGATGCGTATTCTAGACGGAATTCCGTCTAGAATACGCGTCTAGTTTATTTCCGTCTAGTATGCAGTATTCTAGACGGAAATTCCGTCTAGAATACATCCTAGACGGAATATTCTAGACGGAATTCAAAACCGTCTAGAATACATCCTAGACGGATTATTCTAGACGGAAATTCCGTCTAGAATAATTTATCCTAGAAGGAAAAAAATTCCGTCTAGAATAAGTATTCTAGACGGAAATTTCCGTCTAGAAATCTCATTCTAGACGGAATTTGATTTTTTAAATTTTTTTATTTTTTTAATTTTTAAAAAGTATTCTAGACGGAATTTAAGCATCCTAGACGGAATTTCCGTCTAGGATACTATGCTACAGTAGATTTTTTTTTTTTTTTTTGCAGAATCTACTTTGAGTGTATGTACACAATATTGAACAGCAAAAAAATATATTCATATCCAACACAATCTAATTAATTCCAATATCAAATCCAATTATATTCAAATAATACATTCACCAAAATAGTAGAGAGATACATAAATTATTTACAAACGTTTACATAAATTATTTACAATGGCTATGACAATGCTAGGAAAGAATGTAATTCATCGATACATGATTAATAATCTATTTGAGTTCCTTTCTGTTCTTCCAGATTTGCTTTATGTTCTTCCAGATTTGCTTGACACCCTCATAATAGCCAGGAATGCTGCAAAATGAAGAACGGTTATGCATAAGGCAAGGAGTTATCGAAGTAGAGTATCATATTTCTTAGTACAAGCTATTATCTAAAGCTATTATCTAAATCAGTTAGTAGATGAATCCAGCAGGAACAATTTGAGGAATAGTGTTCCACCAAGAATAGTAAAATGGAGAGTTCCTGTACCCAAAACAATTAATATTCAAAGAGCGTGCGATGAGGTACTTAATCTCAAAATGTGTGTATGCAGGAACAATTTTAGCTCCAGGGACAAGCATGGTAAGTGAGTCTTTATGCAGTTAGGTAATTGTTGTTGACTGTATGGAACTTGCAGTTCACCGAAGCTGTATGGAACTTATAAATTATTATATTTCCCACACTATTGTGCATCTCTTCTCTGTTCCATAGCTGTAATCTCTGTTCCATAAAAGTTATATGGATACTTCAACCATTTGCTTTTCCATAAAAAATTGTACTCTTCCACGTCAAAATTTTTTTAAAAAAAATTGTCTTTAAGACAAAAAGTTTTTACATATGTTTCTCTTCAAATGCATTGCATGATTGCATCCATTAACATTCCATTTTGCATATATAACTCCTCTAAAAATGTGATTTTTTTTACATGTACAACTTTGCGGAATGCTGAATGAGGATTGTTCTAAGAAACTCCTTCCATATTCAAACATCTACTAAAGCTTTTTTTTTACTGCTTAAAGAACAAAACAGATATAGAGTTCAGAATATACTTGGTGTGTAATAAATTGTGCAAGTAGGCTGGTACAGAGCAATACAGTGGTGTAATGGGTGCATGAATCATATGGTCGACAAGTATTTTGACCTGAAGTTCGGACAGCTGATCAACATATTCTTGAGCAAGAATATCCACCCTTGTAGAAAACTGTTGCCCTATTTTGATAAATGTTGGGCCTAATCTCAAAATACTCTCCTTTAGCCACTTTGCAAGGGCTCTCCTTCTTACTACTTTTTTCTCCTCTGTCATTCCTCCTGCACATTTGCCAGTAACTCATCAAAAAGATGTGATTTAATATCACTCTCATTCAGACTGTGATTTGTTTAAGTTTATTAAATTTACAGGTGTACTCAAATAGTGAATTAACAAAACTCATGCAATGAAAGAACTAAGATTCTACGCTATTCAAACAACAACAGGGACCTAAGTCAATTCATATTGCATAATTCAATTGTAACAAACAGCTCCTTACTCTAAACCATAATGCGTGCCTGCGTAGTATCGCCTCATCACGGGATTTCAAGAACTGTTACGACACGGACTTATGAACCATAAATATGAATCGAACTTGGGAGTTGAACTCCCGTGAAGTTTTTTGAACTACGAAACTTCACGGGAGTTCAACTCCCGTGAAGTTTCGGAGAGTTTTTTTCAAAAACCGACCTGGTTTCAGCACTGAGGCTGAAACCAGGTCGGTTTTTGTAATTATTTTTGAATGGGGTCGTTTTTTGGGAATAAAAGTCCAAATAGGTTGGTTTTGAAAATTTGTCCTGAGATCCAACCTTTGTTTTAATGGGTCAGGCATTTAAACCAGATTGTGCGGTGAACTCAAATAATTCATTATTTATCAAAGTTGTGATTTTGGGTCACGCATTTCAACAAACACAAGATAAGCACAAACGCATGCCAGCGCAAATCAAACAACAACCGACGAAATGGGTTCAATCAAGATCAAGATCCAGACCTGGAAATGCCTGCCATCGCGCTTCTTGATTCCGTATCCGAGCTCGACGGTACCGAAGGACTTGATGTTAGTGATCACCCCTTTCCTCTGATACACTCGCTTCCCCACTCGGTTCACGACTGAGCCCGACGAATGACCTTGATCAACGAGGTCGACGTCGGAATCTCATCGGGAGGCGGAGATTGCGACGGAATCTTGCGGAGGGAGTTGCTGAGGACGCGCTCGAAGGATTCGACGACGGAGGCGTCACCATCGCCAGCGTCGTTGGGGATCGATTGCCAGCGGCGCAGAGAGAGAGAGGGGGAGGGAGGGAAGGAGTTAGAAAGAGAATTACGGGGGGAGAGCTTCTTATTTCGATTTTGGGCGGAAATTTGGGGGGGAATTTCGATTTTGGAGCGAAAATTTGATGTTTTTATTTTTTTATATGGGTCATTGTATCCTAGACGGAAATTTCCGTCTAGGATGTATCCCAGACGGAAATTTCCGTCTAGGATACATGACCATTTTTAAAAAAAAAATTTAAAAAATAGAACCGTCTAGGATACTATCCTAGACGGAAATTTCCGTCTGGAATATTTTATTCTAGACGGAATATTCTAGACGAAAATTTTCCGTCTAGTTTAATACAAACTAGACGGAAAATTTTCCGTCTAGAATATTCCGTCTAGGATATACGTTTTTTTACTAGTGTGTGTATTGAAAGTTTAATCTATAATATACAAATAATTATAGAAATATATAACATAAAACAAAATATATTTTCAATAAAGTTCTATTGATATTGAGTAGCTCCAAGAGTGATGGAATCTACGACAGGTGATTCAGACGATTGAGATGTTTCAATATGTGTCTCACGGTCTCAGTTCAATTTCGAACTGAGTTATAAGCACGGAGAGTTATGGAATCTATTGATATACTGTGAAGTCAGAAGGTAATTATAGATTAACCTATGATACTTGAGAGGAGAAACAACTAGTAGAAACATAAGAGATAAAAAGGGATAAAAAAAAACTTTGGGGAACATACGCAACTGGAAAATAGACAAATATATTTGGGATGAGATATTTAGATATTAGTCTCTTAAATCTTTCATAATTCTATATTAGTCCCTCAAATCTTAGTAACTGCTCACTACTCCATCAAATCCTAAGGGATCTTGCAATTTCGTCACCCAATGGCCAAAACCCGTCAATTGTGTTTTCCCTCCCAATACCTATCTTTGTTCAGAAAATGGTTATTTGCAAATTGGTGCCTTACACTTTTTTTAATTTTGGTACACCTACATTTTTTTTGACAATTTTGTACCCTAAAGTTTACATCTTTTAATTTTGATAATTTAAACATTTTTGGCATTTTACTATGATAAATATTTTACTTTTTTGAACTTTGATACTCCAAAATTTTGTCTTTGACACTTTATTGCACCCAAACTTGGGTTGGGGTATCAAAGTTTAAAATTTGAGGTTTCAAAGTTGAAAAGGTGAAAACTTTATGGTTGAAATTTAAACTACATGTAAAGTTCGGGTATCAAAATGTCAAAAAATTGTCGGGGTATCATTGTTAAAAAAAAGATGCAAATTTTGGGGCGTCAATGTGTCAAACAAATTTGAGGGCATCAGAGCTAAAAATGTGTAAATTTTAAAGTGATAATTTGAAAATAACCATTCAAAAAACATCAATTGATGATAATTGTCATTTAGGGACTAAATTGCACGAATCATTAGGATTTTATGGACCAAAGAGAAATTGTTGAGATTTGAGGAATTAAAATGGGATATTGAAAATTTGGGGCAAATTGGGTTAATTGTTCAATGAGATAATTTTATCTATTGGGATAATTTGAGTGAGATAAAGTGGGGTCAAATGAGATAATGTGACAATTTGAGTGGGATAATTGTTATGATATCTTTTTATAATATGATATTTATAGATCAATTAAGTTCAAGTTTAACTTGCTATTAAATCAAACCATGAATAATAATAATAATAAATATTTTTTAAGATTATTTTAATATAAAATATTAATAATATAATAATAATAATAATATTAATCAATATTTGAATATTTTGATGTTTATTTTAACTATTGTGCTATATAAACAAAATTTTAAATTGCAATAATTATTTAATCATTCCTACATTTATTAAAATGATGATGATAAAGTCTCAATTATTACAAATAAAGTATTAGTCATTAACTTAAATTTTAATTATTACGAATATAATCTACCTGCATATAACTTTGCTCTAGACTTCTTCGGCTACGTTTGTCCCACTCTCCCACATTATGTTTGCCATTTATTCTTTCCAACGTGATGCAGCTGTCCGTTGTGCTTGTTGAGTCTGTAGGTCATCGTGCTCATCAGAATCACCATCAATCAGAGAAACATTGAGTGATGCCTCTAGAGGAAGATCAGAAACTTCAAAGTCATCGTTAGAGTTCTCCATCTTCAGAAAATTATGCAGCCCGATACATGCCCAGATCATACTTTTTTGAGTCTCATATGGGAAATCTGGAGGTTGAGACTTAAAAATAGTAAACCTAGACTTGGAAACGCCAAAGATGCATCAATACAATTTCTAAGAGATGCATGTCGATGGTTAAATAACTCATGAGCATTGCGTGGTCGCTGACGGTTATTAGCTGGGCCAAACTCTTTAAGGCGGTACCTCGTACCCCGATAGGGAGCCAAGAATTGTAGCCTATTTGGGTAACCACAATCAACTAGAAAAAATTTACCTGCATTAACATTTCTTTGGAATTATAATCACTAAATATAAAATCTAACAATTTGATAAAAAAATATCTACCATTTGGGAGTGAAAGACTGCATGCACTCCTACTCATTGCATCCTTCAAGACCCGTAAATCATTAGCAGATCCCTCCCATCCCACTTAGACATAAATAAACCTAAGATCAAATGTGAATCCCGCAAGGATATTTTGAGAAAGATAGTCATGTCTATTACGATATGGGGTTTGGTCTTCACCATACACCATACATGGAATGTGGGTTTTGTCAATAGCACCGATACAGTCCTATATATTCCATTAACATATATAAAATGTATCTTTAAAATTATAATAATAATGAATGAAGACTTATATAGTGTATTTGAATTTCAATACCTTGAAATAAGGCCAAAAACGAGATTCAGATGTGACCTTTTTTGATGGATCGGTAGGAGGAGGAGTCATCATACAAGGGGCTAATGACACAATGGCTTGGAGTGCCTTATTGAAACAGACGCTGACTGCAAATTGGGATCGATCAAACCTCTCAGTGATGATGCAATATCGTTGATTTTGAGTAACAGTGAGAAAAAAAAATAGCAACCATCTCCTCAACGCTGATATACCTTGTATCTTGTAAATGCCCTCGCAAGACCATACACAATTTCATGAAGCAATCCGGATACATACAATATACTCGACGAAAATCACTTGGATTGTTCTCCATCTTAGATTTCAAGTATTGAAGATGCAAGGTCCGTAATGCCATGTCTGAGTTGGGAAATGCGTAGATTTAACTCCTCTTGTGATATGAGGTGCGAGATACTCGTAACTAGACCTCTTATTTGTGCAGCTATATTGATAATGCGAATGAAGAGATAATCGGTAGTATCCTCGTGAAATAGCAAAATAGAGACATTCTGATTATCTTCCATCCTGTATTAATCATGAAATCAAAACATAGTTAGATGTTCACTACAAGAACCAACAGTTAAATTTAAATTCAATTTGGCAATAGTATAAGGTTGTCTATCTACTATTTATCCTTTTAATCTTTTGTTAGTCACAAGTTATAGAAAATAATGACACAAGGTGACGGTTTGTGTCACAAGCGCGCAACACCTGAAAATCACATGATAATAGGGAACTTGTTAATAACTATAGAAAATAATGGCTCCAAGATCTAACAATGAGAGTGACAACTTTCTAATATATAATTACATCATATAATCATATAATTAGCCTTTGAGCTCACAAAGATAAATTGTCATTCAAAGTATCCATGTGCTTAACATACATATATATAAGTACAACAATGATATTTAAAACCATGTAGTCATCAAAGCATCCATGTGCTCAACATAAAAATCCAAAAGCATATAACTAACATCTATGTTCCCAAAAATACAACTCCAAAAGAGTAGTCATCAAACGAAGGGTCCACAAGCATAATAAGCATAGTGATTGTCATCATTTGGAAATACTCCAGTCAGTCGCCAAATCATAAACCTTCTCCTTTGACCATCATTCATCTTCACAAACATATCCTTTACGTCTTGGAAATATTTGACTAAGGACAGTCAATCATTGTTCATCAGTAAATTCTGGAATTGAAGCCACTCCCTCAACCCACGGTTGGTTGCGGCTTCACAACAACCTCACTTATGTGACTAACTCTTGTAAAGCTTTACTTATAATTGCAATTCCACTCACTATTTCTAGCACAGCGGGGTGAGACAATGTTGAGGCGGTGGTGCGGGAAGGTGCTCTACGAACATTTCTGCTAGTGCTAGAGGTCGATGGTATAGATTCAGCCACTAGAGTGGCAGGACTTGGAGTGCTATTAGGGGGAGGTGGTGGAGGATCAACTGGTGGTTGGGCAGGTTCTTCTTCACCCATAGCATCAAGTCCAATCTCATCATCAAATATACCCTCAACCAATACATTATGTAATGGCGCACTCTCTACACTCTCACTTCCTAAGCCTCCAACAACTCTCCCACTAGCAGAGTGGCTACCCACCACCATCTGCATATCCTCCAAATTTTCAAATAACTTATTTTTAAGCATTGGTGTATTAGGATGAGCCTGTCAAAAAAAAAAAACAAAGATAACAAATTAATATTGGGTAATTAACAATACATTATGTAGTTAGGAATTTTGGGAAATTAACAATCTAACCTGCTTGTAATTTCCCCACACCTCAACGGAGCAAGTAATTCTTTGAGATGTTGGGTCCCAACCAAACCTAAAATTGTTCCTCAAAAGTAATTCAATTGGTTCAATCTTCCTCTTCCAACTCTTGATCTTATTCTTTATATGATCAAATTTAAAAGCAATTGGTTCAATCTTCCTCTTCCAACTCTTGATCTTATTCTTTATATGATCAAATTTAAAAGTTCTTCCAAATTTAGCATTCATGAATGGCAACACTCTTGATCTTATTCTTTATATGATCAAATTTAAAAGTTCTTCCAAATTTAGCATTCATGAATGGCAACATATTTTGAGTGATGTTATATTTCTTGAAGTTGCTGTTATCCATCTTGTTGCCATTCTTCACCTCCTCCACTAAAATCCTCAGTAGCTCTCTAATCTCTTGTTCTGACCATATTACATAGTCACACCTAGCTTTTTTTGCCCTCTCACCATCTTGACAGTACTC